ACTTGAGAGATACATGAATTATTAACCATATGTGTGTTGAATAATGATAACAGCGTAGAAACAAAAGAGAATAACTATGCAAAATTGACTGTAATGCAATGTTTTATTGCTTGAACTGGAGAGAAAAAAACATATCATAAGAAAAGTTGAAAGAAATAGGTTTACAAGAGAAATAAAGCAGTATTAATTAGGCATTCATTTTTTAGATTTCATGTCCTGTGCCACAAGTAATGAGAAACTTTGAAGGTATTCTTTTAAACCAATTTTCGCATTTTCATATCTTGATGATAAATTTTGAAGTCGATGTTCCGTAACAGTTGTTTTTTTTTTCATTTGTGCATCGCTTTGAAAATGAACCAATAATTGTTGAAATACTACCTTCTTCATGTTAATAACAGAAATAAAGTGCCGAGGCCAGGATGATATTAATTTATTCAACTAGTACACATACAAATCTAGGACTAGCAGAGACTTTCCCTTGTTATTAGAAATAAACTCAATCGAGATCATAATATGAACGATAGAAACACTAGCGGTGCAATGACTATAAGTAAATTTATGCGCACATACAGTTTTATATACATAGAAGACTGAGTAGCGAAGAGAAAAGAATAACTCATCAACCATTCAGTGTGGTCTATTGTTTTTTGAACTTTCGAGATTTCGCCTTCCGATCTTATGCCTTTCGGGCAATTAGCACTTCCCCAATAGAATGGCGAGGAAAAAAAAAATTATCGATACCTTGGAAGGCCTCCAGATGTGAAAAATTAAGTTGTGTTTCAAGTATAAAATAAACTTGTAAAAAATAATCAGAGTTCAATGCTGATTCTCAGGCTAATAAAATTAGGTTAAAATTGTTTGGGACATTTGATCCATAATTTGACATAACTTCTTTATTTTAATTTTTTTTTATAAAGGAACATTCGTTAGATATGGGTGTTGATGAAAAAAATGAAGCTATACTCAATCTTGATCGACAATTACGTGAAAAAACATAATGAATAGAACAAGAATAGAATCAGATTGATGAAGTGTTGAAAAAATGTATTAATCAATGAAAAATATGATGAACAAAATCAATTGTTAGTTAAAGTTACTTCGCGTTAGTGTTGTTTTCTTTTTTTTTTTTT